ATATATATATATATATTATTATTATATTAAATTAATTAATATTAATATTAATATTATATTATATAATAATATAATATTATATTATAATATTATAATATAATTTTTGTATTTAATTTATTTTTTATTCTAATAATTTTGTTGATTCATTTCTTATTTTCATCGTGTTCTTCTTCATGAAAAAAATGTCGATATAAAAGAAACACATTTCTTTTTCTCAATAATCCAATCATATCATTTGTCATTTAAAATCATTTTGTCCAAATTTTGTTTTCTTACTTTTCATCTATTCTTTTTTCCTTTATTTTCTAGAAAGAAATTTTGATAAGACACATTTGTTATTCGCGTTCCGGGCCCACTCTTCCATTCCTCCGGCTAAAATATCCTCTTATATCCTCTTTCAAGTGACGCGAACGTGAGGGCGAACGCGCGCACGCGCGTGCGCACTCTCTAGTGCGCTTACTTAGAGGGGGGAGTAACGATGCCCTAAGGCTTCCTCGTGCGTTGCGGCTTCGTAACGATAAGCAACCAAATGAAATATTAATGAAGTACCACCGGCACACGGCGACCACCGTTTTTCCCTAGACGTTTCACCACCGATTACGTTCCTGAATATCACGGAAGTCATCAACGATCAATCCGGTAATTCGATTCGACGCGTGCCGAATAAATCTCTTGGAAGGTGATGGAGGAGGAGGAGAAGGAGGAGGAGGAGAAGGAGGAGGGGAACATGGGGAATGACATATGTCTTTAAACACAACAACAACAAGAACAAAAACTAAACTGTTATTTCACACGATCTAATTTCCCTATAAAAATCAAAAGTATTTTTATTGTCATTTAATTATTGTTCCCCTTTTTTGAAAAATGTCGACACGTTATTTTTCCACCAACACATTATCACACGTATTTCTAATAAGATAGTTGCATCTTTGACTATTTTTTTTTTGTTTTTTTTTTTTAGAATTAATACTATACTTATGTTTCTTTTACAAACACTCAATTGTATTCTGCATGCAATGTACATTTGTAATGTAATTGAATATTGAAAATTGAATATATATATATATATATTACAAATATATTATTAATTTATATATTAATATTATTATATTACTGTAATTATTTATAATAATATTTATTTCATATTTTAATATTAATATTATATAAATTTATTAATACTATAATTTACTTAGTATATATACTAATATATAACTATATATAACTACTATATAACTATATTATTATTTAACTGTATATAACTACTATACTTAAAATTATTACATAAATTTAATATTAATAAATAATAAAATTAAATATAATTTAATTATATTTATAATATAATATATAAAATTATTATTAAATTAATTAATATTAATATTAATATTAAATTATAGTAATAATAAAATAATAAATATAAGAATGTATACACTTCGTTATTGTTCGATTTTGAAATTAACGATTCCATATTAAAATCAATTTCTTACAAAAATAAATTTGACAATTAACTTAAACTATTTTTATTTATTTCTTTAAGTTTTGCATTTGTTTTTTTTTTTTTTTTGAAAGATCAAAATTTACGATAAACAGTTTGTCTAAATTTATATATATATATATATATATGTAAGAAGTATACTACTTCTCTGGCTCGTTCGTAAAATCAAGATAAATTGTTGATATATGTATGAGCCAAGAGTAACTTATACCAGTTCTCCCTCCCTTTCTCCCGTTCTCTCTCTCTCTCTCTCTCGGTGTAATAATTATGCGCCAATAAATTGATTCATTAAAGAGGACTAAGTAATGACCGCATGTTGTCCGAGCTTATCGTGTTTCTCTTGCGAAGCGACGACAAGCGAAATATAATTTTCTCTACTTCGACGATATCCACGAGTGACATGCCCTCGAGGAACGTTCACGCGTGTTCTCAAACCTTACCAGCTATGGAAAAACTTCCAAAGTAGACTTATAGTTAGTACTAAGTGTTAAAAATAA